GACTAACATGTATCTGACTAACAACAAACCGGGCTACAGAACATCGTGCAAATCGGGACTTTCTTTAGATACGGACTGCACCCTGCTCAATTACATATTCTTATTTATGCCATGGTTATGGTACGGATAAAGACCAAAAGTATAGATTTTAACAGTCCAGTCTATAGTTTAGTCTAAACTCTAGTTTATAGTATAGACTATAGACGAGTTTATAGTACAGTTTAGTCTATAGTATAGTCTAGTCTATAGTATAGTCTAGCCTATAGTATAGTTTAGTCTATAGTATAGTATAGTCTCGTCTATAGTCTCGTCTATAGTCTAGTCTATAGTCTAGTCTATAGTCTCGTCTATAGTCTCGTCTATAGTCTCGTCTATAGTCTCGTCTATAGTCTCGTCTATAGTCTCGTCTATAGTCTCGTCTATAGTCTCGTCTATAGTCTCGTCTATAGTCTCGTCTATAGTCTCGTCTATAGTCTATAGTCTCGTCTATAGTCTAGTGTATAGTCTAGTCTATAGTCCAGGCTATAGTCCAGGCTATAGTCTAGTCTTTAGTCTAGTCAATAGTCTAGTCTATAGTCTAGTCTATAGTCTAGTCTATAGTCTAGTCTATAGTCTAGTCTATAGTCTAGTCTATAGTCTAGTCTATAGTCTAGTCTATAGTCTAGTCTATAGTCTAGTCTATAGTCTAGTCTATAGTCTAGTCTATAGTCTAGTCTATAGTCTAGTCTATAGTCTAGTCTATAGTCTAGTCTATAGTCTAGTCTATAGTCTAGTCTATAGTCTAGTCTATAGTCTAGTCTATAGTCTAGTCTATAGTCTAGTCTATAGTCTAGTCTATAGTCTAGTCCAGGGGTCGGCAAACCATGGCTCGCGAGCCAAATGCGGCTCTTTGGATATGGAGCTGTGGCTCTTTAGTTTCATACACAAATTTTATTTATTTTATAAAAAAATATTTGTATGCATATGTATTAAAACTAACAAAACACTTCGCAAACGTTTCTACAATATAGAAAACTTTTTGACTTTGCTTAATCGTTCTGTACATGAACAAAACAAAAACAAATACTTTTTGAGTGAGAAAGAAAGAACATAATTAGCTTTTCACTCATTTCCTTGCTTTTATTTGCCCCTAAAATTGTACATTTGAGATTAAATCCTCATTGAGCCATTTGAAATTGGTATTGGATCTCTAGAAATGCAGTTGATCAATTTAAAAAGTAAAACTTTGTGTTGTGGAAAATTGTCAAAGTTTAAAAGCAAGTTGGAAGATTTAGGTAAAAAGCCAACTAACAAATGAATAATCCAAGCTTTCTAAAGCCATACAACCTATCATCCCATTGAATTTGTTCCATGTACAAGCTAATATTGTAAGAAAATGTTTAATTCTTTAAAGTTTTAATTGAAAAGTTCCCTATAAACGAATGGGGTATCATATCAGTGATCCTACGAGGTGCCATTAGATAAGATGTAAATCATGATCATACATTCCGAAATTTTCGTGTTTTTCGAATTAAAACATATATTTTGAAAATTTAAAATATAGTAATAATGTGGAGAATTTTGATACAGTTAAATACTAAAAACTTAGTCTATCTCAAAACTTTAATCTTTTTTTATAAAAAGGTGCAAAAAATTATAAATGTTTATATATTGCATGTTTTAATGACAGTGATCTATGAAAGATTGATATATTTTTGACATAAAATTTTTGCCTATAAATAAGGGACCAGAAAGCGTATTAAGGACCCATCCTTACAAAATTTGGTAATGAAGTTTTGGATCCTATTAAACTTGTTTGTGTTGATTTTCATCACTATACTTGTATTTTAGCCTGTTGTATGTCGGAACTTTCGAAAGTGGACTCCATATGGGGGGAAGGGTCAATTTTGAATCCATCCTTATTTAATTTGGTACAGATATTTTTTGTTCTTATAAAACCTGTTTGTGTCGAATTTCGTCGCTTACTGCTATTATTAAGTCACTTAAGAGCGATAGGGTCATTTTCTAATGTGGATCTAATATGGGGGGTAGGATCAATTATGAGCCGATCGTCACCAAATTTGGTAAAGTGATTATTGTTCCTGTTTGTGTTGAATTTCGTCATAAAATTGCCATTATTTAAGCCAGTTATGAGTGTTAAAATCAAATTTGGAAGATAGATTTTTGTTCTTATACAACTTTTTTATGTCGAATTTCGTCTATGTACTGCTACTGTTAAGTCAATTATGATCGTTAGAGTAATTTTCTGAATGGAACATTATATTGGGGTTGGTCAATTATGGTTCAATGTCCGCAATACATCACAGTATAATTTCTGTTTGTATAAAAAACTTGTGCAAAAATTTATCTCGATTGCTGCCTAATTAATATACATAACTGTGACTCTTTATACTGAATTATGACAAATGCATTTTAAATTATATCACTGTCGCTCCACTCTAATAAACTGTTATATATTTATATAACAAGTGTTAAAAAACGCATTCGAATGACCCATAAAAATTCTAAAAGTGTTTGTAGTCAAAAATCTATAAGAAAGATTCCTTGCAGAATCGTCTTGTAGATAATTAAACAAAAAATATGTTTTTGAAGTGAATTCATAAAGTATTTGTAATGTTTTAATAAACAAACATTTTGTGGCTCTTTTAAAACCCATGTTTTGTAAACTGTAAATTTTGACTCTTCAGACTCAAAAGTTTGCCGACCCCTGGTCTAGTCTATAGTCTAGTCTATAGTCTAGTCTATAGTCTAGTCTATAGTCTAGTCTATAGTCTAGTCTATAGTCTAGTCTATAGTCTAGCCTATAGTCTAGTCTATAGTCTAGTCTATAGTCTAGTCTATAGTCTAGTCTATAGTCTAGTCTATAGTCTAGTCTATAGTCTAGTCTATAGTCTAGTCTATAGTCTAGTCTATAGTCTAGTCTATAGTCTAGTCTATAGTCTAGTCTATAGTCTAGTCTATAGTCTAGTCTATAGTCTAGTCTATAGTCTAGTCTATAGTCTAGTAGTCTAGTCTATAGTCTAGTCTATAGTCTAGTCTATAGTCTAGTCTATAGTCTAGTCTATAGTCTAGTCTATAGTCTAGTCTATAGTCTAGTCTATAGTCTAGTCTATAGTCTAGTCTATAGTCTAGTCTATAGTCTAGTCTATAGTCTAGTCTATAGTCTAGTCTATAGTCTAGTCTATAGTCTAGTCTATAGTCTAGTCTATAGTCTAGTCTATAGTCTAGTCTATAGTCTAGTCTATAGTCTAGTCTATAGTCTAGTCTATAGTCTAGTCTATAGTCTAGTCTAGTCTAGTCTAGTCTAGTCTATAGTCTAGTCTATAGTCTAGTCTATAGTCTAGTCTATAGTCTAGTCTATAGTCTAGTCTATAGTCTAGTCTATAGTCTAGTCTATAGTCTAGTCTATAGTCTAGTCCTATAGTCTAGTCTATAGTCTAGTCTATAGTCTAGTCTATAGTCTAGTCTATAGTCTAGTCTATAGTCTAGTCTATAGTATAGTCTAGTCTATAGTCTAGTCTACAGTGTAGTCTATAGTGTAGTCTATAGTGTAGTCTATAGTGTAGTCTATAGTCTAGAATATAGTCTAGACTATAGTGTAGTCTAGTCTATAGTGTAGTCTATAGTGTAGTCTATAGTCTAGAATATAGTCTAGACTATAGTCTAGTCTATAGTCTAGACTATAGTCTAGAATATAGTCTAGTCTATAGTCTAGTCTATGGTCTATTCTATAGTCTAGTCTATGGTCTAGTCTATAGTCTAGTCGATAGTCTAGTTTATAGTCTTATCTATAGTCCAGTCTATAGGTCTAGTCTATGGTCTAGTCTATGGTCTAGTCTATGGTCTAGTCTATGGTCTATTCTATAGTCTAGTCTATGGTCTAATCTATAGTCTAGTCGATAGTCTAGTTTATAGTCTTATCTATAGTCCAGTCTATAGTCTAGTCTATAGTCTAGTTTATAGTCTGGTCTATCTAGTCAAATCTAGAGTCTAGCCTTTAGTGGGTATAATGATGAGTATAAAATCACCACTAAAACTCACAAACGCCCCACTGTGTTTATCATAAACTAACTGCTTAATCAAACACTCACCAAAATTTTTATGTGAGAGAGAATAATGTTTTTGTAAGAATATATTCTAAGAGAGGGGAGAATAACATTACATTGTAAAATACAATTACAGTGTTAAATTAAAATGAAAGTTAACAAGTAATTAATGTTTTTAATTGCAAATATTATTGTTAATAATCAAAAACAGAATTTTATTTTTTAAAAGATGGAGATTTAAATAATTATTCCATTTTGCTCCTCCTGTTGGGTTGTTTTTACTCAAATATTTTTGTTTGTTTTTTGTTATTGTTGTTATTTGATAATTGAGAGTAAATAAAATGATTTTTTGTTTATAAATTTTTAAAATGTGTGTGCATTAGAAGCAGTTAAAATAAAAATTAAACTAAAATGTTAATATTTATGTTAACAGAGTTTTAATTGTTTTGTTGTTCATTTGAATTTGTGTGTGCGTGCGAGTGTGTGTGTGTATGTTTAAATGTTAGTGAGTTATGTTAGTGGCATGGTTGGCTGTTAGTTCTTCTTGTTTGTTTGAATGTTTGATGGTTGTGTTTTAATTCTGTTGTTAGAGAGAGTGTGTGTTGTTGATTTCATTAGTTTAGTATGGTTGTTGGTGTTAGTAGCTTGTGTTTGTTGCTGTTGTCGTTGATTTTATATTTTTTTTTGGTTATATTGTGTGTTGATTTCAATTTTTTTTCGAATTGCGCGCCCTTAGTCATTGACTAAACGTGCAACAGCAAACAAGCGTGAGCGGCAAAAAAATAATAATAATTAAAATTAAGAATTATTATATTAAAAACCGAAGAAAAAGAAATTGTAGAAAGAAAAGAAATATATTAAAAGAAAAACACATCTTAAACTAACGGAAAATTTTTTTTCATAAATTATTAAAAATAACAACAACAACAAGAAACTAAATTTTAAATAAAATGTTTTAAAATAAAATTAAAAAACAACTTAATAACAGTGTTAATAAAAACAATTTTGTGTTTTTTCCTGATTTTTTTTTAGCAAATTTTATTTTGCTTTAGTTTAATTTTTCGCAAATTCTACATTCTTTTTCTTACTCCTTGTTTTACTATGACATTTATAGGCAAATTATGTTTAAAAACATACAGCAACAACTAAAATAACAACAAAAATATGACAAGTCATATAGCAATATAAAACAGTTTATAACTTTAATATATGACAGTTATAAAATTATAAAAAAATTAATAAAAAAAACAAATTTTTTAAAAAAATATTTAATAAATTACAAAAAAAGTGTTTTGTGTTTTAAATTTACTAAAAAAAAGTGCTAAAAAACATTTTGTTCTGCAACACCCCCCCTATTTAAAGGATTAATTTCATCATTCATTTGCCTCCTGCCTTTTATTGGATTATTTCGTTGCCGTTTATTTACTATTCCATAAAATTTGTTTTTGTTTTTTAACAAAAATTTCGGATTATTTAAAACAACAACTTTATCACCATGGTAAATATTTCATATTCTTTTCTTTACTCTTTCCCAAATTTAACATAATTTAAGAAAATTTTCTAAATTTTTAACTTAAAACCAAATGCCGCTAAGTTATCAAAAGTATTCTAGATCTTGCGGTATTTCAGATGATCGCCGTCTTAAAGAATTTACTAAAAACTTATATAGTATTGAGTGCCTTCGGTAGTTCGGCTGCCTCCGCTAGATTAGTTGCTAGTGTTCTAGTCTGTTCGTCTGGAGCTTGTGGTTACGATTCTCAATAGAAATTCCCATAAAACAGGCCCTCTAATGTCCTAGCTGTATTTCTGAGGATCATACAAAAGCCTTTTTTTGCAAGATAGATGGAATATACTAATTTTGATATTCATTAGGAATCTTTAAAAAAATGACATAAGAACTCCAACAAACATATTAAAATTTTAGATTTAAAGCAGATGAGTAACTAAAAGATCAGAAATATTGTCTGCAGATTACAAAAACCATATACTTTCCACGCTCTCATAAAAATCCCAGAAATTATAGCTCCTTTTCTACGATCACCATAGAAACAAACAGGAAAATTGCAAAATTTTATAAACAATATAAGCAAAATAAAAATATTTTATATATAAAGAGATAATTAAGACGATCTTGCCATGATCTTTTACATTATGGGCAAGATCCTTTCCCTATTCTGAGATATAAACTGTTGATACAATCATCATTCTTTTAAAGGAAGAGTAAGAAACTAAGTTTTAAGACGATTATGGACATGATCTGCGTGATCTACAAAATGTTGATCCGATCAGCATTATTCTAGAGGCATCACAAAAACCAAATAGAAAACTTTTAAAATAACAGGCCTTACTAAATTCTAAGGAGATCTTGTTCAGTTCTAGTTCAGTTCTAGTTCAGTTCTAGTTCAGTTCTAATTCAGTTCTAGTTCAGTTCTAGTTCAGTTCTAGTTCAGTTCTAGTTCAGTTCTAGTTCAGTTCTAGTTCAGTTCTAGTTCAGTTCTAGTTCAGTTCTAGTTCAGTTCTAGTTCAGTTCTAGTTCAGTTCTAGTTCAGTTCTAGTTCAGTTCTAGTTCAGTTCTAGTTCAGTTCTAGTTCAGTTCTAGTTCAGTTCTAGTTCAGTTCTAGTTCAGTTCTAGTTCAGTTCTAGTTCAGTTCTAGTTCAGTTCTAGTTCAGTTCTAGTTCAGTTCTAGTTCAGTTCTAGTTCAGTTCTAGTTCAGTTCTAGTTCAGTTCTAGTTCAGTTCTAGTTCAGTTCTAGTTCAGTTCTAGTTCAGTTCTAGTTCAGTTCTAGTTCAGTTCTAGTTCAGTTCTAGTTCAGTTCTAGTTCAGTTCTAGTTCAGTTCTAGTTCAGTTCTAGTTCAGTTCTAGTTCAGTTCTAGTTCAGTTCTAGTTCAGTTCTAGTTCAGTTCTAGTTCAGTTCTAGTTCAGTTCTAGTTCAGTTCTAGTTCAGTTCTAGTTCAGTTCTAGTTCAGTTCTAGTTCAGTTCTAGTTCAGTTCTAGTTCAGTTCTAGTTCAGTTCTAGTTCAGTTCTAGTTCAGTTCTAGTTCAGTTCTAGTTCAGTTTAGTCCTAGTTCTGCTCTAGTTCTAGTTTAGTTCAGTTCTAGTTTAACTTTTTAGTTCTAGTTCAGTTCCAGTTTTAGTCCTAGTTCTGCTTCAGTTCTAGTTCAGTTCTAGTTCAGTTTAATCCTAGTTCTGCTCTAGTTTAGTTCAGTTCTAGTGTAACTTTTTAGCGATTAAAAGTTAATCGATCAAAATTAATCGAATAAATTTGTGAAAATTTTACAAAAAATATATAAAATTTTTAACAAAACTATAAAGAAATATAATTTTAAGCAAAAAAACATAAAATTGCGAATAATTAAAAAGTAATTGGTTAAATTTTATGCGAATAAATTTTGTAATCGACTGAAAATGTTGTTATTTTTTTTTAAGATTTTTATGAAATTCAAACTGAACTTGAAATAGGTTAATGAATAAAAGTTAATCGATTAAAATTATTCGAATTAAATTAAAATTGTTGAACAAAAAATTTAAAAAAAAACTGCAAAAAACTTAAAAATATATATGAAAAACTGTAACGATGAAAACTAATACAATTATTCGAATAAATATATAATTGAAATAAGATTGATTAAAACATTTGTAACTGGATTAAAAATTAATCGATTAATTTTACTTGTTTGTTATGCGTTTCTGGGAAAGATTTGTGATTATTTTAAAATGTTTTTGTTTTAATCAATTTTCTTATTTTTTTCCTTAAATATTAATTAATCTTACTTAGTGTTTTAATTTATTTCGAAAATAATCTTTAAATTGCTATTTTTTAATTAAAATAAAAAACCATCTGTTCTTAATTTTCGCCTGAATTTGTTAATTTTCAATATACTTATTTAATTTTTTTTTGTGTTTTCACTCGAAACAAAAAAAATCCAATGACTAATAATGGCAGCTAATTGAAACTGCTTAAACAAAAAACAATATTTTTATTTTGTTATTTTAATTACATTCAATTAGTCATAGAATTTAAATTAAAACTAATAATTTTAAAGTTTAAATATAAATAGGAACGGAAAAGAAAAACACATTTTAATATTAAGTTTAGTTTTTTTTTTGAGGAATGTTGGGGGAAATGCCTTAATATTAATGATAGAAATGTTTATAATCTTTCAAGAGATGCAAAAGAACTAGTGCATGAACTAGGGAAATGTGGTCAGTTAAATATACTATCGTCAAAGAAGCTGTCAGGGAAATAGTTCTTTAGCAGTTCTCTTCATTCTAGGCAAGAATTGCAAAATCTTAATTAAGGTTTTTTTTTTGAAAATGTTATAAATTAATCCAATAAAAATTCACCTTTTAATAAAAATTTTTTTAGAAAACTTTTTTTGTTAAATGTTCATAAATTACACATGAATAAAATTCTTATTATTTATTTATTTGTTTGTTGTTGGTGTTGTTTTTGGCTTCTTTGATTTTTAAATTATGATTTAATAAGCTATTTTTAATTATAATAAATGCATTTGCCAAAAATAACAACAACTAAAATTACAACTACAACAACACCAACAGCAACAAATAGTAATAGTATTCATATTAGCAGAATTATTAAAATTTACGTAGCAGCAAAAAAAATACGATATTAAAAGCATTAGAAACTATAAACAGTGAAAGCTAAAAGTATTCGGCAACATTTTCTAATAACAAATTTAACTGAAATGGTTAAAAAATTATAGAAAAGTAATAAAAATATGAAACAAAACTGTTAAAAAACAAAAACTTTAAACAAAATAAATAAAATTTTGAACGAATAAAAATAAATCGATTAAAATTATTCGAATAAATTTTAAAATATTTACCCAAAATAGTCAAATTAATAATAAATCAAATGCAAAACTATTAAAAATGAAGAAATTAAACAAAACAAATAAAATTTTGAACGAATAAAAGTTAATCGATTAAAATTATTCGAATAATTTTATAACATTTACCAAAAATAGTCAAATTAATAACAAATCAAATGCAAAACTGTTAAACAAAAAAAAAAAAAATAAATAAATAAACAAAACGAATAAAATTTTGAACGAATAAAAATTAATCGATTAAAATTATTCGAATAAATTTTGCAATAATTGCTAAAAAAGTGTACAATTTATAAATAAGCAATAAAAATGGAAAAAACTTAAACTTGTATATTTTTAAACGATTAAAAATTAAGCGATTAATTTTTATTCGAATAATTTTTTTAATGGTTGAAATGTTTACAAGAATTAGTTTCTTGTAATTAAGAAATTTAAAACAAGCTAAAAATATTTGTATTTTAACGAATAAAATTTAATCGATTAAAATTATTCGAATAATTTTATAAAAATTTTGCCAAAAATTGCAAATTTCATGACAAAACCATTATAAAGTATTTTTTTTCGGAAAATACTAAAATTTTTAAACGAATAAAAATTAATCGATTAAAATTATTCGAATAAATTTCTACTAATTAGCATAACATTTGAAGATTTTAAACAAGCCATTAAATAAACATAATTATTTAACTGAAAATGTTAAAAATACCAAAAATTTGAAACGAATAAAAATTAATCGATTAAAATTATTCGAATAAATTTTAACTAATTTCCTAAAAATAGTAAAATTTTTGACAAATCAATTTAAAAACATTAATATTTCACTGAAAACGGTAAAGTTTTGAACGACTAATTATTAATCGATTAATTTTTATTGGAATATATTTTAAAAAATTGGAAATAGGTTTTGAATTGTTGTTAAAAATAATTTTTAAAGTATGAAAAAAGTTAAATAATTTTAAACGAATAAAAATTAATCGATTAAAATTATGTATTCGAATAAATTTTAAAAACTTTCAAAATTAGTAAAACATTTTTAAGAAATATAAAATTTAATCGTAAATGTTAAAATTTGTGAATTTTATGCAAAAATTTTGACGATTAATCGATGAAAGTTATTCGAATAAATTTTAAATATAAAAGAAAATTGCAAAATTAGTAAAAATTAGTTAAGAAATATAAAAGTTAACCGAAAAAGGTGAATAATAAAAACGAATAAAAATTAATCGATTAATTTTATTCGAATAATTTTTTGAATTGATTAAAAAACAATTGAAAATTATTTTTAAATTATGTAAAATACAAACTAGGCTAAAATTGCTTAATTTTTCTGCGAATAAAAATTAATCGATTAAAATTATTCGATTAAATTCCGAATCTTTAAACAGAGAAATTTAAAAATTTATAACAAATCTTTTAAAAATAAACAAATTTTATAAAAAATAGGAAAATTTGATGAATAAGAATTAATCGATTAAAATTATTCGAATAAAATTAATCGATTAACTTTTTGAATTGATTAAAAAATAATTGAAAATAATTTTTATATCATATAAAACACAAGCTAGGCTAAAATTGCTTAATTTTTCAGCGAATAAAAATGAATCGCTTAAAATTATTCGATTAAATTCCGAATCTTTAAACAAAGAA